GTCTGTCCGAATAATTCCGAGCGTTTCCTCCGCACTCCCTAGGAGGCTAGGTTGGCTGTCTTCGTCTGTAGACGCAGCGGGCCGGCTCTGGTCCGAGATTCGCAGGCCTCTAACACGGCTCGGCCTCTCAGGGAGAGCCCAGGGCCACCAGCTTCTCCCGTTCCCTTCACCGACGGAAGCCGAGGCGGCCCGAAGCGGAGCCGAGCTCTACCGAACGTTCCCGACCCCGATCCCGAACCTTTCCGAGCTTCAGCTCCCGCCTCCTTCTGTCCGAAAGTGCCCGAGCGCTGCCGGACCGCGAATCGGCTCATCCGCGGTTGGACACAGATCCCGGGCGTGGCGTGAGAAGCGAAGATGGCGGTGGGGGGCGGCCGAGAGGCTGTCGGGATCGCGGTGGACCCGGCGGCAAGATGGCGCTCGCGCGGCCAGGTGAGCGGGCTGGGCGGTCCTGTCGCCAAGTAGTTGCGGTCGCGCTGTCGCGGCGCACGCCCCGAACACAGGACTGGTGCCTTGGATTCCCTGCCACTCAGCAGTACTAGCCCTGGCGGACGCGGCCCCCTTCATTCAGACTTTTGCGGCGGACGCCCTGGCGCCACGCCCGGGCCGGGGAGGCACGGGTGCGACCTTGTCTCCCTGGCCGAGGATATCACTGGGCACACTTGTCCGGGGCACACCTAGGCACACCCGCGGTTCACCCGGCATACCCGTGGGTCTCCCGTGCACACACCGGACACACTTGCAGCATGCCTGGGCACACTCTGGGCTCGTCCCTGCATACATCTACAGCGCACACACCTGAGGCACACTGCACACCTGTGGCTCATCCCGAGCACCGTTGGGTACACTGGCTAGGAGCCGCCCCTGCCTTGATGGAGTCTGAGGCCTGGAGCCCTTGCACGGCTGGCCCCTGGCAGGGTCCCTGGATGAGAAGTTGAGGTGGGCAGGGCCAGACGCCAGCAGCCTAAGTGGGAAAGGTGACCACAGTCTTTTCGGGCCTGTGCGCGTCCATCTCTCTGTTCCTCCTTGGAACACATTTTGGGTGTGTTGGGTGTGTCTGGTGGTGCAACACTCCCTACACTGGTGGTTATGACAGTGTATGTATTCCGAGGTAACTGAATAACGTTTATAATAAATTTAAAAATCCCTTGGGCCGGGGATTTAGCTCAGTGGCTCCACCGCCTGCCTCAAAAGCGCAAGGTCCATAGTTCAATCCCCAGTACCAAAAAAAAAAAAAAAAAAAAAAAAAAAAAAAAAAAAAAAAAAAAGAAACAAAGAAAGAAAGAAAAATCCCGTGTGGGATGGGAGCCTTGAAATTACTGTCTCAGCACTAGTTAAAGACCTGGTTTCTATATCCTTTGCCAAGAGGATGCACTAAGCATTAGCAGGCCACCCCACAAAGAACCACCTGTCACCTTACACAGAGCTTCCAAATTGCCAGCCCTTGTCTGGAAGTCCTCTGTAAATTAGATTTGCTTCTGTATTTTCATTTGCCAAAAAAAAAAAAAAGAAAGAATTAAATATTAAGAGTTGGGGCTCTAGCTCCGTGGTAGAGCGCTTTCCTTGCATGTATTAGGACTTCAGTTCATTCCTCAGTACAGCAAATTTAAAAACAAAAGTTTATATCAGACACCATCTCTTCCCAACCTCCCCTATCACACCAGAGAAAACATTTGTTCTCCTTTACTTCTGTGTTGTTGGTAGTCACGTTGTGATCACATTAAATCATTGACAATAAGTGTTAAGTCCCAAAACTAGTCAAAATACATTCAGTCAAAATGAGCTCCTTTAGGTCTGAAATTGTTAGGATCACAGGTCTCAATGTACCTGACCTTAGTGTTAATTATTTAGATGCTATGTCACGTGAGGTTTTTACACAGTCCTTGTTCCCTAAGCCCCACAATTTTGATCTGTAACAATGGGCAAGTAGCAGACCCATTTGCATTGATTCTAATGCTAGCCTTTTTTTTTTTTTGTATTGGGGATCAAACTTGACCTTGAGTTTAGGAGACAGGTGGAGGAGCCACTGAGCTAAATCTGAGGCCCTAGCTTTATTATTTTATTTTTCCAATGTTAGGGATTGAAGCCACGGCCTCCCTCATGTTAGGCAGTTGCTGTATCGCTCAGCCACACCCCTGGCTCTGACAATAACCTTTAAGGGAAGGGTCAGGAGTGAGGAAAACCCCACTTAATGTGAAACCCCCAATTAATGTGAAACTGACCCAAATAATGACAGGTATTTAGGTAACTTAGTTTAGCTGGGGCTGGAAAAGAGCAGATCAGATTTAAAGAGCACCTGCTGTAAGGTGATGCTGCACCTTCACCTTCAGTTTCCTTCTTCTGCACGTGTGCCTGCTAGGAGCCACGGCCAGAGTCTGTTACTGACATCCTGAGTTTACTGACCTGTGACTCCTGCCCACTTGAGAGTCCATGGCTCTGCCTCAAAGATGCAGTCTGGCCCAGGTCACATCCTCTTTCAGATACCAGCCGGAGGGGTCCTCGGGACAGGGGCTGTGCACCTCCTGTAGGATGGGAAAGATGCCTGTGGCAGGGTGGGTGGAGGACTGAGGCTGCGCATTTGATGGCTGGTTTAGGACAAGTACTCTCCACAGGATACTCCAGGGAAATGGGTAAAATTCCAGAGCAAAGCAAATGTCTATGACCAACTCAGAAAAAGGATTTCTTAGAGGCCACATGAGAATGCAGGTGGTTGTAACTGCATATTTGTGGCACGTGTGGAGATCACGCATGGTAAAAAGCGCTGCTGGGTTTAGCCCCAGGCACTTCTTGAAGTATGAGTCTCATCTTTCCTGTCCAGTCTGGCCTCAGGTGGGTTGGAGGTTCCACCTCTGCTCCCGCCCTGTGCTCCAGGGTACAGGCTGTCCCTGGGCTCTGCAGAGGTTTAGATGATGATGTCCTCCTCAAAGGGACGGATGCACGGGTGACAGCCGAGACTTAGCTGCAGGCCCTGTAATATGCACTTCCTCCTGTAACTAGGAGCTCAGTGGAGCAAGACCATCAGCTCGGTATTTTGTGGCCCAGGACAGCATCTTATAGGACTGGGCCTCACTGACCACCCTTTCTCTTCCAGGGAGAGGCTCCTCCTCGGTGGTATCCTACAGCGGCTGCATCCTGCTCCCTCTGCCAGGCCTTGGCTTTGGCAGGCAGCCCCTTGGGGCTGATCACGGCCCACAGCCAGGTCTCTGCCTTTTCCTCTTATGCCCACCCCACCTTTTCCTTACGTTTTTATGATGACTAAAGAGAGAAGAGCATTCTGACAGATAGAGCTGGTGAAGCTTCCTCCAAGTGAGGTGTTGGGGGCTATCACTGACCTCCATCCCCTCAGCTCTGTATGCCTTGCAAGCTTAGTGCCCCAGGGGGACTCTACTCCCTGCCAGGGGCCACCAGGCAGCAAGATGGAAACCCCTCACTTTGGATGGCCATACATTCCTTGTAGTGTGACTGCCAAAAAGTAAACAAAGTTAGGAAATTGCTAGAGGACATTAAACTGCCCCCAAGCTGAGATATGCTTCCCTGTAGAACATGACAGTACTGTTCTTTTTCTAATGTAGAACTAGTGCCAGGTGAGGTCACCCAGAGCACCAGTTAGAGCCCCCACCAGCCCCAGGGGCCTATGCTCCAACCATGCTCTGGGAGAGTGGGAGGGCTTCTGGCTTGCCTTGTGCCCATCAGGAGCTGGCATGGTCATGGGAGCTCAGGTGGGAGCCAGTGCCACACCTCCATGGCCACTGCAGGTGCCCATCTGTCAGAGCCTAAAGTAGATGTGCTCATCTGCGGCCACAGGACAGATGGCAGAACCAGCCTCTCTGGTTTGGCTGCCTGGGCACGTGCACCCCAGAGTGCTGAGCTTGAGGATCCTTGACCACTTACCAGCTCTCCTCAGTTCCTCTTCAAATGCTGTTTCACCTCAGTGGGATATACTACGCTCTGTATTTTCTGGCCACGCTCCTGATGATCGTATATAAAAGTAAGTCACTTTGGGAGGCTGACGCAGGAAGATCCCAAGTTCGAGCCAGGCCTGGGCAACTTAGTGAGACCCTATCTCAAAATTAAAAAAAATGTTTTTCAGAAAGTGCTGGGGATGTAGCTCAGGAAAGCCCTGGGTTGGCGGGGCGGGGTGGGGGGTGTCACATGACACGACAGAGTGAAGCAGGCACTGCCACTGTGGAGGCTACTAAGCTCTGTCTTCCCCTAGGTTGGGTTTTCAGCTATCCTCACCTCCATCTGGGCCTCGACCTGATGCTGCTGTCTCTGATGGGGGTTCTGGAAGCAGCAAGGCTGTACCTAGGTGAGTCGGCTGTGAAACATCAAGGACTGTGGTGCCAGGGCTGCCTCCAACCTTGGAACCCCTAGATGTGAAGCTCTTTAGCATTGGGCTCTTGGAGACATTCTTCCCAGACAGGACTCCAGGTGCTTTGTGCGTCCCTTACAGCATCATTAAGTATTAATGCTTAGAGCAGGGATGGGTGCATGACCGCCACCCTCACGTCTGGACACATACACATAATTCATAACAGCACTGAGATCAGAAGCCAGCCCCAGGGCATCCCTGCACCTACCTTTCTCCCTAAGCCCAGTGGGGCAGTTTGGTGTGCTTTGTCAGGGACCAGTCCACCTTGGGTCCCAAGTCTGCTGGTACTTTGGCCTCAGCCAAATCCCTCTCTAACCACACAGGGACACCTTTTGCAAGGACTCAAGGTGGGCAGCAGGCACAAATAAAAACCCCTCTTCTTAGAGCAGCTGCTGCCCCTGGCCTCCACCTGCCCTCTGTACTCTGCCTGTAATCACAGGGGCAGTGGCCCTGCTCTGAGAAGAGGCTCAGACCCCAGTGAGGAAACTGAAGCAGGCTGGACCTGCCCTTCCTGTCAGCATACCTTGACCCCATGGGGTGTGGCTGGGGCTTCTGGTGCCTGTGCTATCCTGAATCTTACATGGACTCCATAGACCCTCCGTAGAACCCCAGGCAGCTGGCCTTAGCTGGTGGCAGCTTTGAATTGGCATTTTCCATGACTGACCCACTTGTGTGTGAAATGTGCACTTTTAGTTTTTATAAGCATTTGTGAAATTTTCCAGGACTGCCTGAGCCCAGAGCAAAATATTTTTAGAAGTTTAAACAGAATCTCTTGGGGCCCTTGTGGAGTTAGGAAAGGTGACAGACGTTCATGGTTTTAGAAACCAGCTGGCCAGATGCTGGGTCCTAGGTGGTAGCAGTGGGCTGTGCCACCCAGGGCTGGGCACAGATGTTGGGCAGCCTCCATCTCACTTTCTTTCTTTTTCTGTCTTCCCAGGCATGAAGGGCAACCTGACAGAAGCCAAGGTGCCACTGGCTGCCAGCCTGGCCCTCACAGCGGGTAGTGGGCTACTTTCTGTCTACTTCCTTCTCTGGCAGACCCTGGTGCTGTGGGCAGACTGGGTTCTCAGCACCACACTCCTGGCTCTGCACAGCCTGGAGGCTGCCCTGCAGGTGGTGGCAATAGCAGCCTTTGTCAAATAAACCCAACCTGCAGGGAGCCCTGCCCAGCCCACCACTGTCCTGCTGGTGTTCCATGGACAGTTTATCTTTGCAGGCAGAAGGAACTGGGGCAGAGAACACTGTTGGGCGTCCAGGCATTGAGCTCAGCTCGGGGGACACCCCAGGGGAGCCTTCTCAGATCCTGTGCCGGTCCTGGCATCAGCAGACTGGCTACCCAGGGAGGACAGAGCCCTTGAGACATGAGGCTACTGTGGGGTGGTCCGGTGGCTCTGCCCTGTTTCTGCCCTCGAGAAACAGGCCCTTGTGTTTCTGCATCCATCCAAAGGCAAGCTGGTCACCCGCACAGTCCCATGTATCCTCACAGCGGCTCTCCCCAGCCTACACTCCCCACACTGTCCCTATCCATGTCCTGAAACCCACTTTTCTCTGCTGCCCCGGGGAGCACCCCACAGGGATGCTATGTGCCATGGTTTCCACCTCAACTACTTTCTTCTCCTGGGGGTACCGGGCGTCTGGGCATGTGGAAAATGGCTTCTGTCTGAGGTCTGTGAGCCAGACTGGACTACAGTAACGGCTGTGCTTACCACTGAACAAATTCCATCTCACGTCTGACTTTATCCTTTTTCCATCCTTGGATTTTTAAGTGCTGCTTAAAAAGTAAAAAAAGTTGGCTAGGGATGTAGTTTAGTGGTACAGTGCCTGTCTGGCAAGTGTGAGGTTCTGAGTTCAATTCTTAGTACCAAAAAATATACATATTTGGGGGCCAAGGGCTGGGGATTTGGCTCAGTGGTTCCGCTGCCTGCCTTGTAAGCACAAGGTCCCGAGTTCAATCCCCAGTACCAAAAAAAAAAAAAAAAAAAAAAAGGGCTGGGGCCAGGGATGTGGCTTAGGGGCTCTGCCCCTGCCTGGCAAGTACAAGGTCCTGAGTTCAATCCCCAGTACAAAAAAAAAAAAAAAAAAAATGGACTGGGGCCAGGGATGGGGCTCAGGGGCTCTGCACCTGCCTGGCAAGTACAAGGTCCTGAGTTCAATCCCCAGTACAAAAAAAAAAAAAAGTAAACAAGTTATGGTGGTCCGTACCTGTGATCTTAGCTTCTTGGGAAGCTGAGGAAGGAGAATCACAAGTTCCATCCCAGCCTGGGCAGTTGAGCTACTTAATGAGACCCTGTCTCAAAACTTAAAAATTGAAAAAGGACTGGGGGTGGTGTTCATTACTCCCTGAGCTCAATTCTCAGTACTGAAAAAAAAAAAATGCTGATTTTTGTAGTGGATTTCCTTCATTTGTTGTGTTTTCTGTTCAGAATAATAAATGTTTATATCTCCATGAACTCTTAATTATGGTCACCCACTTCCCCCATGTCTGGTACAGAACTCAGTCCTGTTGCTGCCCTCACACCTTCCCCAGCGCACCCAGCCAGGACACCTTGTGGGAGACAGGCCTCTGTGCCCGTCCTTACCATGACCCTTTACCCACTCTTTCTGACCTGAGACTCAGAGGCCACAGTGCATGTCGGGACTGAGACCCACTTTCCACTATCTGAACTTTGCAGAGCTCCACTGCACAGAAGAGCTGGCTTTCCTGGGGCCTGAGCACGTATTGTCTGCATGTGCAGGACCTGCTGGACACACACTCTGGCCAAGGACCCTGCTGCCTCATCACCAGATGGGGCCTGAGCCCGACATCCCTCTCCCTGGCCCCCCCGGGCACTGGTCACCTGCTTACCAGAGGCCCACAGACACTGCCCGTACATTACAGCACCAGCTTGCGTGCTTTTGAGTACAAATCTTGGAGTAGGGGTCCCACCCAGCTGTTCCTAAGACTGCCTGTTCCTAGCTGTGCCCAGGAAGGGTCTCCCTAAACTCCCTAGCCAAATAAGATTTTTTTTTTTTTTTAATGTACCAAATAGGGCCAGGGATTTAGCTCTGATTCTGCTGCCTGTCTCGCAAGCACAAGGTCCGAAGTACCAAATAAATGTTCAAACGGGAAAGGGAACAAGGGAGGAAGAAAGGAAGCGACAAGAAAAAAAAGTGAAAATAGGTAAAGGAGAACAGCTTTTGTACACAGGGAAGGGAGGCAGCCTAAGAAGGGGACAGGATAAAGAAAATTATTTTTTAAAAATGTACCTAAACTCCCTAACTTCACACTGGTCGTGGGTGGCCCCTGCTGTTGGGCCAGGGCAGGGTCACTCCTGGAGGGGGACTGGCCAGGTTCTATGAGATCAGCCATCAGGGCTGTTAACCAGTAAGCCTCCTGGGCTGGGGCAGGTTTGGGGCCTGGAGGACAAAGGCCACTTCCTGCTATCTCACCAAGCTCCCCCTGCTCCAAGTGCAGGCTGGGAGCAGGCCCACTGTCTCTCTGGGAAGTGCTGTGTGCCCAGGACAGACACAGCGGCTGCCTTCCCCGCCTGGACCTGCCTTCCTGGCAGTACCCATTTCTCACCAGCAGACACCCAGCCTGAGCTCTTGTCTGCATGTTCATCCCACCACACCCTGGCCAGACCTGCCCTCTAGCCCCTCCAGGACCTCCTCACCCCCCGCTGTTCTGGAAGCCCCAGGCTGGCCCTGTTCTCAGGGAGCAGGCAGACTATCCTGGGAGTCTGGCCTGAGGAGAGAGCCAGAGACACGGGACAGCTGAGCCCACGGGTGTACGCACTCACCCAGCAGATACCTGGTGGGGAGGGGGCAGAGGGTCTTAGGAGCGCCCGGCCACCGGACAGGCAGCTGAAGAGGCCCCTGGATCACTTGGCCGGGTCGCGGCTCTGCCACCCTAGGGCGGGAGCCCTCGGCACCCTGCAGGCGCGGCCGCCTTGGGAGAAATCCGGTCCGGGCCGAGCGTTGTGGTGCCGGCTCAGGGGTCCAGGTGCG